CCCCCCCCCACTTCCCTAACATATGGGTTGTCATGGCAACAAGCTAAAAATTTGCACGCGGTCTATTAGTAGCTAACTAATCGCAGGTACAGCTTTTTACCTCTGAAAAGCCGCGGTTAAAAGCTAGTATAAGGCACGTACCCAGGTCCCCGCTAGCCAGCAGTAGTCCGGCGTCCAGTAGAGGTCGCAGCTGTCGTCCCCAGGCGTCCCCCTCCAGCTGGAGAGTGTCCCTCAACTCGCGCGCGTTCCAGGAGTCGACGGTGTCGAAGCTGAGCAGGAGAGCGCACTGCACGGTGCTGGCCGACACGTGGTACTGCCTGGCCGTGTACCGGGTGCGGAGCTCCCCGCTGCACAAGTGATGCAGCCAGGCCAGGCGCCGCCCGCTGAACATGTTCCGGTAGAACGCCTCGAACTGACGCGCCGGCCGCTCCAGCTGGGGCGGGGGCGCCAGGGGGGCCATCGCGCCCCCTAGGGGCCAGGCGCCCGCCTGTAGTACCTGTGGGGGTATATTGCCTACTGTAATGTCTGCTACATAGTACAATCAAGGCGAGTCGACTCGGCTAACGTCTTTTTGCTCGCACAAATGGCGTAAACGTAAGAAGGAATTTTTTCGTCCAATCACTGCAGCTGTCAAATACTGAACGTCCAATCGTGTGACACTAGCTAATTCCCTATTGGACGAAGAACGAGAAGTTTAAACTAGTGCTATCGGTTGAGCAGAAGTACGGCAGGCCCCGTTAGGAAGTATTCCAATTCAATATGTTTGGTCGCACGTTCGTACGAGTCAAATTCGCTGGAACTTACGACGATTGGATTGTTTTTCATCACTGAGGTACTGTTACAAAGGTTGAAAAACACTGCTGTAATTGAAAAAAAAAGATTGAGACTTTTATTTGAGGGGGAAAATCATCCCTAATGACTCCTCCCAGGGCGGGTGAGGCTCTTACTAACTGAAAACCACCCCGTTCCTACTCTTGCATAGAGCCGGAGCCGTGGCAACCCGTCAAGTCCTCCGCGGCTCCATATCGGCAGCAGCCCTACTGGGCCCCATCCGCGGTCCGACGGCTCGTTCCTTCAATGTATGAGACTTGTAGTTACAAGGTACCTGTATGAAGAAGCCGGTGGTCCGACGGCTCGTTCCTTCAATGTATGAGACTTGTAGTTACAAGGTACCTGTATGAAGAAGCCGGTGCTGGTGGCGAGGTTGTTCTCCCGGAGGTGTTGCTGGAACTTGGCGTTGAGGTCGGCCGACACCGCCACGTCCGTGAACATGCGATGTAACTTGTTCGTGAACTCGTACCCGCACGCGGCCTTCAATCTGAAGTCGAATGTATGCAATACAAGTTAGGGTTGAAAGTAGGATGGTTTTGGAGGCGGAACATAAGACTTTCTGGAGCAGATTATCAACTTTAGCTTGTTCTCAATAGAAGACGGGTTAGCCATAATTCTACTTTGTGTCGAAAAACTGAAGGACATCTTTCCCACCGTTTCCCTTCTAGCGGGTAGGTATCGTATAGTCGACAAGGGACTTATATTATTCAACATAGACTAGGCGAATCTTCTCTCTAGAAAATCTAATATATTTGAACCGCAATTTCCAATCTGCTTCGCAAGTGTTGAGATTATGGCAAACCCTAGTAAGAAGTCCACAGTTGTTGATAATTATTCATTGCAGATGTAAATAGTCCAGCAGTGGACAGACTCCGGCGAGAAATATCACTCCTTACCAGGGAACTCGCAGCGAAGAGCCTTGGAAGTGCGAGTAGGTTTATAACCATAAGCTATGAAAAGAGGTTCTGACTAATTACAATAAAATCTCACCGTCACCAATATTTCTGTCTCTACAAATTCTCTATAAAATGACAGAGACAGCACGATATTTAAGTACAACTTTAAATTGAGAAGCATTTCAGTATGCGAGCGTGAGCTCTATATATATATATATATATATTAGAGTACGGACCTGTTAATCATGGCCTCCTCCTGCTCCATGGACGCGCTGAGTTGATGTATGAGTCGCCGCGCGAGGGCGCGCGCGTAGTACTTCTGGAACACGTCCTTGTCGTCGACGTACTTGAAGACGACGATGGCGGCGGCCAGCTTGTCGTCGACGTCGACGTCTGCGGCGGCGCGGCGTCGCAACAAGCAGTCGCAGTACCGCGCCAGCAGCTCGGGCGCGCCGCCCGCGCCCGCGCCGCTGTTGACGACCGCGCTACATGCCTGGGTGGACCGGACATCTTATATATGTACTTGTACCAACAACAATACTTTGTTTTAGGGCGAGGCTCCATTAGTCCCGCGTTGCGTTGCGTCATCGTAGCGTTGTTCCAACAGATCGACGGACCAGAGACTAAGCTGGAGGGAGAGTGATGCGCTGCGTCGACGGACAGTTATGACGTCTGTATCTGAGACGCAGCTGCGACGCCGTGCGTCGTCGCCAGTCAGGCGGCGCGACAATGCGTTGTTCCATTGCGACGACGCAACGCAACGGTGAAATGGAGCCTCACTCTTAGGTGTTTAAAATCAAGTTTAAAGTGTGGGACAGCCATGCTTTGATACCAATAGCCGGAGTGATGCCACGACCTCAAAGAGCACCGGCGTGGCATCGAGCACACGCCGTGTGAGTGAGACTACCGGGGGGTTTAATCCTCCCCCATCCCCACATCTTCAATCCCTACCCCCCAAAAACACAACAACGCACTAGTAACGCCTCTTGCGGGTGTCAATGGCCGGCGATTGCTTACCATCAGGTGAAAACTGTCTAATGTCATTTTATTCTACAGTTCAGAATTAACTGACGATTGAAAAATCGGCCTTTAATGTATGTGGTCACAAGTCTCAATGAAATGACATTGATTAATGAATCAAAGTCATTTGTGAAGCAAATGTGCTTAAACGCGTGTACAACTGTACAGTCGGCCACTTTGAGAACTGACCCACTACGAGCTCATTGTGTTACACATTCCAATATATATAGTTCAGATAAAGACTTTTATCTTGTCATTTACACTGAGAATTATTTTATAAACCGATGCAATTGTACTATTTTATATTGTTACTGAACACGCAGTACACGTAATTAGATACTTTCATTGCAGTGATTCTGAGTAAGTTATTGAATGTTCTTGTCGTTCAATCAGGAGTTCGGAAAATGATTTCGATTAAATAAAACAACTTTTCTGCATCAAATTTAATTCCAAAAAGTTTGATCGCAAAATATCAAATATGGACGACAACAATATCCGACCCCTGTTGACATAGATAGCTTGCAAACGATTTAGTATCAATCAAGACGGGTCAGCGGTCAAAGCTGTCGATTGTACATACATGCATACAGAGTCCATACAGTGACACAATAAATATTATTTCGTTCATGTCAAGCGCAAACAAACATTACAAATGTACAAACTAGCCATGCAAGCAGCAGGTTCATATACCTACCTATTCTTTATGTATTCAGTTGTATACCTTGATATACTTCAAGTTGGGTAGTTTCCGCAGTTGACAATGTTTTTTTTAATTTTATAAACAATATTAGAAATGAACCAACTGCCAATTATTTCATTTTCATACTTTCGAAGTTAATTTGAAACAAAAATATGACGTCACAATTCACTACCTCGTACAAACATAATGATTTAAATAAGTATTAGCTTCGATTATTAGAAATCTACCCAATAATTAGTTGTTCAGTCAAGACTATTACAACTACAAGCAGAGCAGACATATATACAAGGCACTATATACTGTATACTAGTGGGCCCCCTGGTCCCCGGGGCCCGCACGTACCTTGTCTAGGGCCCCCACGAAGGCCTGGGCCCCGCCGAATACTTCACTGAACAGCTTGCTGTACTTGCCGTGCAGTGTCAGCATCGCGTTCACGAAGTGAGTGTGGGCCTGCGTATATATACATACATAATTATATTAGTTACTATCTCCGGAACTAGTGGTACCGACTGAATCATTATTTTTGTGTTGGATAGTTCATTTACAGAGGAAGGCTGTAGGCAGTAAAACATCACGCTACGATCAATAGGAACCGAGCAGCGAGGGAAACAGCGCAGGAGTCGCTAGTTACACGTACATACACATATTCTACAAGGACGGGGCAGTATCTACATTGCGAGCAGGCAGGACACTACATTATAATTTAATACATTTTCAAACTTCTCGCTTT